TTGTAGATCTTTCCATTTCTAATTTATAAATACATTTGGGGTTATAAATTATAAATGTACTGCCTCCTGTCAACATTGTATACTTCTATTTGATGATTTCTGTGTCAAACATTATATGGAAATGTTTCCAAGTATTTTCTGTATTAACTGTGAATGAATAGAACAAAATAAATTGCCTGTGATGGGAAAAAAAAAAGAAAAAAAAAAGAAAGAAAAAAAGAAAAAAAAAGAATAAGTCTCTCGCCCTTTCGGCTGAGGACTCAGAGGCATTTGGCCTGAGGATTCGTGGAGACAGGGTCTCACACCTCACTTTCGGCCTGAGGATTTGGTAGTGGTGAGAAGTTTCTCTAGTGGCTCCGTTCCTTTATCTCTCTGATTTTTCAGCATTCACCCCAATATCTGGCTCCAAGTTTTTATTATAAGACCAATTAGGATTCGTGCAACAAGTTTGCAAGTATTTTATTGACAAATTTAGTGTTTGTGTTCATCTGCAAGGTGGGTTTATAATTTCCTGTTTTTGATTGTCTTTGTCTGGTTTTGGGACAAGAATAAACCCTCCCCTGTCCCCTCACCAAGCCAACCACCCCCCATGGCACCAGTGACCACCAGAGCCATACACTCACCCTGCTCCGATTGGGAACAGGGAAGGCCCTGATCTCCAGACTGGTCAGCCCAGTTCTATAGTCCCTAGAACATTCTATGGCCCTCCCCTCAGCCAGTGCGGCCCCAGAGACTGACTGGGCAGGAGCCTGCTTCCACCCCCACCCCCTAGCCAACCATCCCCTGCAGCATCAGCGACCACCAGAGCCATAATCCTACCCTGCACCAGTTGGGAACAGGGACCACCAGAGCTATAAACCCCCTCCTGGACTAGTTGAGAAGAAGAACAACCACAGGAACCAGAGGCCCCATGGGAGCCAATTGGAAGAAGAGTGACCAGGAACGCCACCTGTTCAGATTAAAGGAAGACATGGGTATACGGCAGCGTAAGAACACATTCAACAATACAAAGAGCCACATAGCACCACAGAACCTAGTGATTCTACAGCAGCAAGACCTGAACACCCCAACACAGATGATCCAGAAGAAAACAACCTTAAAAACAACCTTACAAAGATGATAGAGACCCTAAAAAGAGGAAATGAAAAATCCACTTACAGAAATGGAGGAAAAGACAAACAAAAATTGGAGGAAATCAAGAAATCTCTTAAAGAAAACCAAAAAAAAAAAAAAAAACCCAAGAAAAAAACAAACATGTGAAGGGAACAGTTCAAGATGTGAAGATTGAAACAGAGGCAATAAAAAAACACAAACTGAGGGAGTGCAGAAAAAGGAAAATCTAAGTGAACGTACAGAAACTACAGATACAAGCATAACCAACAGAATATAAGAGATGGAAGAGAGAATCTCAGGCACTGAGGATTGTGGTGATACGTTGTGTACCCTAATACAATCTGCCTGAAGATCAGAGAACAGAACAAGCCACCAGATTAAACATACGTGCCAGGCAGTGGTGGCGCACACCTTTAATCCTAGCACTCAGGAGGCAGAGATCCCTCTGGATCTCTGTGAGTTCAAAGCCACCCTGGACTACATGAGATTGATTCAGACTAGGAGAGAAACAGAGCCAGGCAGTGGTGGCACACACCTTTAATCGCAGTACTTAGGAACCACACACCTTTAATTCCAGCAAGAAAGGTATATAAGGCCTGAGGAGACAGGAACTAAAGGCTTTTTCGGCTGGAGCCTTTGGGTGAGGACTCAGAGGATTTCAGTCAGAGGATTCATGGAGTTGGCGAGGTGAGATATGGCAGTGGCTTATTCTTTGGTCTCTCTGATCTTTCAGCATTTACCCCAATAACAGGCTCCCAGGTTTATTATTAAAAGACTTATTAGATTTCGTGTTACAGAGGATATGATAGAGAAAAGAGATTCATCAGTCAAAGAAAACATTAAATCCAGCAAATTTTTAACACAAAACATCCAGGAAATCTGGGACACCATGAAAAGACCAAACCTAAGAATAATAGGGATAGAAGAAGGAGAAGAATTCCA